TCTCTGTCAAAGCTACAACTTAAAATTCTATTCCTGGACTATTTTCACCGAATTAGTTTGTTATGTGGAAGGAACATCTATATTACTGAGCCATTTGTCTATATTGTGCAGGACAAAGCTTGCTATGAGTAATGTGGCTATATATATATATATCACAAGAATATTTACATACGGAAAGTTGTAATTACTTGAGTGCATAAACAAATACATCTCTTCAAGCGTGGCTGGGGGACATTTTCAAGTAGTATGAATATTAGTGCAGGTTTTCTTCTGATGTTAAAGGTAACATGTTCATCTTCTTGGATCTGATACTCTCAGTAAAAATAAAAGCAATTACAGAACTTTGATATGTATAGTTCTGCCCATCGGTTAAGTTGTGAACACAAAGTTAACAGATAATTTGAGAACTATAGTCAAAGCAACCTGAATCATTTGTAAAAAGAGAACACAGTTATAATGTAATATATTAGCAGTTCTAGAACATATACACATAGAGTATCTTTGTCATACTATACTACTCCTTAGATTAAAATGTTCACATTTAGTGAATTTAAGGAAAATGGAAATCATACTTCTTAGAAATGTTACTTTTCCTTTTTTTCTCTTGAATTCTGAAGTTATCTTTTGTTCTTCTTAAAACATTTATTGCTGCTTTTAGGAGAAATAATTAAGATCTTTAAGTTTTCAATAGCAATACTTTTTAGGTATTAAGGAATTATGAATGCTTGCATTTATTGTATCACACTACAAAAGGGACTCAAATACGTTTTCCAAAGTTATATGAATTTAGAAATATGATTTTACATTTAGTCTTGATTTACTATTTATAACCACTTTAATTCTGATATTGTCAGAGGGGAATAACCATAAAACTTTAATCCTTTATGAAAATCCGTTTTTAAGGTTTTTTAGGAGAATGACCAGTAATGGGGTCAGCTAAATGGATGTCTTGCTCAAATGGCCCTGAAACTGAGGTGTTAAAAACGTATTCGCAAACAGCCCCAACATAACCACTACTAGAAGTCTGGCAAGGGATTAGGAAACTCAGTAGCTACTTTTTAAATTCCATCTACTGAGGTTCAGGGAAAATGACCATTTTAAAGGTAAACAGGGAATGCTCAGACACCAAATAGATTTTCCCATAGATTTTGCTGGCATATTGACTCCTTGTATATATTTAGGAATAATGGTGTTGATACCAGATGGAGCTATGAGAAATCTGCTGTGTCTCATCACAGATCCCCACTGGCCCAAGGGAAGTTTAGTTAAACAACAACGACAAGGTTTTAAATCATATACTAATAAATGTTCATGAAGTTTAATTATGTTGTTTCATTAGATGAAAATATTTTCTGGAGACAGGATATTTCAAAATGTTGTTTTGGTAAAAAAACATTGAATAAAGTTCAGTTGACAGCCTGCAGACAGATACACAGGTTCCAATAAAATTCAGGACCCCAAGGGTCTGCCCAGCTCTTGAATTGTTTAAAATAAACATGTAATGTAGTAGTTAAGTTTTAAAACGGCTTCTCAAAACTGGTTAGTTAAGGTACAGTCATTTATGAGAAATATATTCGTGAAAGTGATTTTCACCCTCTCAAATCGTCAGCGGAAAACTGTAGCTTCGATATCTATCAGTTGTTATAAGTTTGTTCTCACGGTCGACCCAAACCAAGGCCAAGAGTTTATTCACTTTCTTACCGTTAATTACAGATAAATAATGTAGTGTGAGTTACAGAAAATGCTGAATCGCTGTAATTTCCATTCGTTTAAATAACAATAAAACCCTATGTACACTTAATTTCTTTCGGAAGAAACCTCCTCTCCCTGCCTCTGGCAGCCTTCTCCCATTCCTCCACTAACCAGTTAACTTTAATGTGAGAAACTAATTTGCACCCAACCTGTGAATGCCTTCACCTTCAGGTAGAAGAAACACTGATTTTAATGCATTTTTGCAAATAAATCATTACAATTTAATCACACACGACTCCACACAGACACACACCCATGATTTATTATCGTTAGGCTAGTTTCCTCCTCCCCCAGCGTGAGATAACCAATTTTGCTACGTGTGGTGTCTTAAACATTAACTTCCTACGATGCAGATTTGTTTACTGATTATCTAAGACGATAACGACGATTACTAAGGCAATAACACTCTTCCGTCTCCACCTTTATTGCTTTTGGGAGGAAGAAAATCAAATAAGAGAGCACGCAAACCCAACACCAAACAAAAAATTGGCGGCGTGACAATCTACTCTCTCGGCACTCCTCTAACTTCTGGTAGCCTCCATCGATGCACTCGAAAGCTCGGCTGACGCTGCCTGGCGCTGGAACCAGGAAGGCGGTGAGCTTAAACTGCAGCAAGTTCGGAGGACGCCGGCGGCGCCCAGATTTGAAGGAACGTTTCTAGGTCTGTGGAGCCTGCAAGTCAACGCGAGGCCTGAGACCGAAGGCCCGGACCCAGGTGATTCCCGTATCGGTAGCCCGGGAGGCGGCGCCTGCGGGTGCGCGGTTTCAAGGCCCTGGTAGGCTTGAGGCGGCGCGGGGCCTGGCGTAGTCCGCTGGGAAGGCGGCGTGGAGTCGAGGTGGAGGGGGTGGTGGGTGGCGGCCGCGAAGCGTGCTGAGCGGCACAGTACGCATGCGCCCCGCACCTGGCGCTTTCTGACCCTTTAGGTCCGAGCTGGGGCCTGTGGGTGCTGGGTGCTGGGTGGTGGGTGGCTGTAGGATTGCGTGCGGTCGCAGGCCTCAAGCTAGGCCCTTGGTCTGGAGGTGGTGAGGGAGAGTTAACCAGCTCTTCCTCCCATTCCTCCTTCACCCCCTACTCCCGCCACACCTCCTTCTCCATTCCCAGTGCCTGGTCCTAGATCACTGCTTTGGGTTTCTGTGTGGTTGGTGCTTCGTCACTAGCTCTAGGTAGGGTGGAGCGAGAGGGAGGCTGCCACCTGGTGCACTGTGCCCCACTCACTCTGCTGTTGGTACTTTAGATCCACCTGCTCTTTCAGTGTCTATCCCCCTTCCTGGCTCGCACTCTTGCTTAGGTGAAATAGACTTAACTTTCTTAACATATGAATCTATTCACCTTATTCGCTTCTATTTCTTTGACTTCAGAATTTGTGGCCTGCTGGTCATAGAGTAAGAGCACATGGCTACCCTTAAGCTCTGTTTACTTTGGTGAGCGGTTATAATGCACTGTTTATACGTGTTGCCGGCTCATGATTTTAGGTCAACCTTAATGTAATTTCTATCTCAGAGGTTATATATCTTTAAACGTACATTGCAAGCCTAAATTTTTTGTTACTGCGTTTTCAGAATCACCACTAACCTATTAGAGTTTCAGCTGACTAGGTACTAGGTATTCAAATAAATTCAAATATATTTTGCGTTACAAAACAGTATTCCAGCTGTTATTTTTGGACTTAGACATAAAAGCTCTAAGAGAAAGAGTTATGCAGAGTTGTCAGGTTTAAGGATTTGAACAGATATGATAGGTGCAACCTTGTGGGGAAACTGTGTATCCCCTCCAGCTTTAGAGTCTAAACGTATTCACTTTCTTTGCAGGCAAAGGAGATTTCCTGCTAAGTGGTAACACTTTACTACTGTATGTTCTTCAATAAGAGAGCTAAAAATGTTGGAAATAGAAAAAAAAATAAAGGCAGCTATTGATTGGCCTTACCAACTCCACCACTCTTAGTAAAGAGTTGTGTTATGAGTTGGAAAAGTTGTGTAGGAAGATTGTTACAGTAGATGTATAGATATATTTTCTGCTTTCCTTTCAAACCACTGGGGAGAAATATTTATGACTGATAGTTTTTTTTAAAAAAGAGATGCTAGGGGGCGCCTGGGTGATTCAATCAGTTAAGCTTCTGGCTCTTCATTTTGGCCCTGGTCATGATCTCACTGTTGGTGGGTTTGAGCCCCAAGTTGGGCTCTATGCTGACAGCACGGAGCCTGTTTGGGATTCTCTCTGTCCCTCTCTCTTTGCCTTTTCCCCACTCATGCTCTCTCTTTGCCTCTTCCCCACTCATGCTCTCTCTCACAAAATAAATAAACTTAAAAAAAAAAAAAGATGCTAGTCAGCAAATTTTTTGTGAATGGAGGAGTGTTTTGACAATTCTGTATCTCTTTTGAATTTTGCTTTCTTATATCAAATTAGAATTTTACCTCAGTTTTTTCACTGTTTTTGCATGATTCTGTACTTGTTTGCAGATTTCTTCCTATGCTAAAATGATATTTTTACTTTTTTTTACTTTACCTCTTTGAGGTGGATTTCCCATTGACATGCCTGTTCTTTTCTTTTTTCTTTCTTTTCTTTTCTTTTCTTTTTCTTCTTTTTTTTTTTTTTTTTTTTTTTTTTTTTTTGCCATGTGTCCAAGATACAAAAGATTGATATACTAATGAATGAGTAGTGGAGAAATAAACTGTCATATCCTCTAGGAATCTTTGTTCTAATTGCATGTTTTCTGAGAAAGGTTAATTGCTTTTTGTACTTTTTTTAATAACTAGACAAAGGAACTATTTGTGCATGCCTTGAGCTGTCTTTTGAATGAGCACATCTTGGCTTCACATCTTCAATTAGTCACTTAAACTTTACAATGCGATGTTTTTGTGAATTGATGTCCTGCTGTAGTCCTTACCTGTCCTGGTTTCAGTTCTGTAGTGGGAGTATTTGGGTAAGGTTTACAACCAAGAGACTACAACCAGGAAGTACTAGAAAATAGAGGGAGGACGGAAAACCAAGAGCTGTATGAGCTCTGTTCCTGTACTTGCCTTTTCTGTTTACAGATAGATTGAAAAATTGTTAGCTTGTGGGACTCTTAAAGATCTCTGCTCAATTCATTGTTGCCCTTATCAGAAAGAGTTATTAATGTGTTTTACATGTACTGTACCTTAATGACGGAGTTAAGTGTAAAGAATTCTTTCTTACTAGGAGTATGTAACGTGAGTAAGTAAGTACTCATGAGTAAGTATTTTCAATTATATGCCAATGAGATGAAAATCCAGAGGTAAGTATATATCTAGGGTGGTGAGTACGATTTCAGAACCTGTCATTGATAGAGAAGACAATTTTTAGATCTCTCTTATTTGCTTTTAGTGTTCACTTTTTCTGAAGCTAACTGTAATAAAGAAATATAGTGGCTTTTGATATCTCTTGATTAATTATATTTCAGTGGAATTTTTCTGAAATGTAAATGTGTTATTTGAAAATACATTCATAGTTTTGTGACATGGTTTTTGAACTTTCTTTTACTTAGTTCCTCTAAGGAAGGATTTTGTATCTTTCAGTAACTTTTCTGGGTTAAATGTAATCATTCTTCTACTGGGGTGCATTATGTTGTTTGAAATTAAAGGAAAATTTATACCCACCTCCTATTCTCTTTCTTTTTTTTCCAGTCAACAGCAAGGTACATAATTAGATCTGTGTCATGTTCTTTCTACTTCTTTATGCCTTACATAGGGACTTAATAAGCTGGGCAAGAGTGGAGAATGGCAAACTTTCTAGTTTTAGGATTCCTTTACAACTCTATTTATTTGTTTAAGTAGGCTCCATGCCCAATGTGGGGCTTGAACTCATGACCTTGGTATCAAGAGTCAGATGCTGTACTGATTGAGCCACCCACATACTCTGGATTCCTTTATACCCTTGAAAATTATGGTGAACCCCAAGAAGTTTTGTCTATGTGGGCTGTATCTATAAATATTGCCTTACTAGTAATTAAATTAGAAAATTTTGAAGTGTTAATCCATGTAAAAATAATAAGCCCATTACATGGTAACAAATAACACATTTGATATGAAAAATAACTATTTTCCAAAACAAACTTAGTGAGAAAAGTGGCATTATTTTCCATTTTTCAAATCTCTCATGTCTGGCTTAATAGAAGACAATTGTATTCTTAACATCTGCTTCTGCATTTAGTCTGTTGTGATGAGTTGTTATGATTAACGTATAGGGAGAAAATTTGGATTCACAAAGATATGGTATTTGAAAAATAAGTATTTTAATAGCCTTTTCAGATAATTACTTCTTTGATACCACACCAAAACATGAAAAGTAGTTTCTTCTTTCTTTCTTTCTTTCTTCCTTCCTTTCTTTCTTTCTTCTTCTAACCAGGCTCTACATTGATCCTTTCTTTCTTTCTTTCTTTCTTTTCTTTCTTTTCTTTCTTTTCTTTCTTTTCTTTCTTTTCTTTCTTTCTTTCTCTCTCACTTTGAGAGAGAAGATCCTAAGCAGGCTCTGCACTGTCAGTGTGGAGCCTGGTGTGGGGTGGGGTTCAGAGTCACGAACTGTGAGATCATGATCTGAGCCAAAACCAAAAGCCAGACTCTCAACCGACTGAGCCACCCAGGCACCCTGACAAGTAGTAGTTTCCTTAAGGTTGGTTGCAATCTGATATTTGAAGCCATATCAGTGATTTACATTAAAATCTTTTGGTTTGTCTTACACTGTGAGTGGATTTTTGTCATGGATTCTGTGACATCATGAGTGGGCCTTTGGGAAAATAATGGTTCACTGAGTTATGCATATCTTCTAGATTTTTACCTTATTATGTAATTTTTAAAAATTCACATTTGTTAATATCACTACTGATCTCATCAGAGAAATCTTTAGTAACTGGGAAGCTGTCAGTCTCTCTTGGTGGATACAAGTCCAAAATTCTAATTTTTGCTTGAGAGCTAAAATTTTATCGTTGGCAACAAATGTCAGTTTTCCTTGAAGTGGAAGACTCTTTGTTCATTTCTGGGAAGATGTCTGCCAAATACTCAAGTCTGAATAATCGTGGTTAGTTTTTTTAAAAATAGTGTTTTAGGGCACCTGGGTGGCTTTAATTGGTTAAGCGTCTGACTCTTGGTTTTGGCTGAGGTCATGATCCCACAGTTGGTGAGATTGAGTCCCATGTCAGGCTCTGTGCTGACAGCACAGAACCTGCTTGGGATTCTCTCTCCCTCTTGCTCTCTGCCCCTCCCCTGCTCATGCACGCTGTCTCGCACATTCTCTAGTAAACTTTTTAAAAACTGGTGTTTCATGACAAAAGCTAGTTCAATTTGAAATTCATTTGTACAAATGCTTGTTCTCAAGGTATCCATTATTCTTTAGTATGCAGCAGCAGGTAAGTGTATTTCCCATTTCATCATACAGAATATTAAAAAGATGTGTGCTCAAGGGTTGAAATTTAAATTTTTTGTAATGTTTATTTATTTTTGATAGAGACAGAGACAGAGTGCAAGTAGGGGAGGGGCAGAGAGAGAGGGAAACAGAATCCAAAGCAGGCTCCAGGCTCTGAACTGTCAGCACAGAGCTTGATGAAGGGCTCGAACCCACGAACTGTGAGATCATGACCTGAGCTGAAGTCAGACACTCAACTGGCTGAGCCACCCAGGCACCCCTGAAATTTAATGAAATTAATGATTTTTACTGCTTTATCAAGGACATTCTTAAGTGAAACTGCCTTAAAAATTTTTTTT